CTCCGGACCGGGTGCGAAGAAAAAAAGGCACAGTCTGAATTATTTTTGAAGTGGTTAAAAAAAACCCCATGACTGGAGCTATAATATGGTTGGTGTTATATTGAAGTATAAGGCTTAAGTTATGGTATTTTTGAACTGCAGTCCTTCAGGCAGCCTGGTAAACAGTTATGAGGGAAAACAAACAAACAAACAGACCTATATTTTTGGTAAATTTACACAGTCATTAAGGCTGCAGTAAAAGTCTTAAGTAAATCTCCAATGTTTGGTGAGTCAATCTGTCAGTGAAGAAATGCTTCCTCGCCACACTTGTAAATAAGGTGGTGCAGGAAAGAGGAGAGACGACGCCATCATTGACAGCAGCGTTGAGTTTAATTTTGTCTAAGTACGAGCAGGTGGCATGGAATCAACAAGCAAGTAGATAAAAAAAAAATCCTTCGAGATTTCTTTTCCATGATGGCCATCATGATTGCATCACATAAGTTACTGCATCTAAATCTGTTCAGGTGTAAAACACTTAACTCAAGCTTTCATTGAATTACAGTCTATTTGACTCACGAATGGATGTACTGTACTCTCTGTTATATTTTTCTTCCAACATACTCCTAAAATGTGAATCCAATATGCTTCAATAATACATTAAATTAACTGACGTGGTATATATTAATAACCACTAATAGAGTTGAGATTAAGAGAACATTCGGAGAACATTGTTCTCCTCTAAAATACAATACACAGTTAAGCTGCAGTTGAAGAAGGATTAATTAAAAATGCATTTATCTCAACTGAGGGAAACAGTAAAAGGTTAATTAAATATTTGTAAGCCCTAAAAAGCTGCTATAACGTGGATAAATATAACCCAACCTGCAGTAACATTTCTCATACAGTAGATGGCGAGTTTGAACAAAATCCCTCGTGGAGCAGGGACGTCACAGTAGGACATCATGTAATAAAGTTGTATGCATATAATATGAAAAAACGTAAGCGTGAACAAATATTCGACACAGCTCCAGATTCGAGAATCATTTTTGGTTTAATCTATAATGGATTTTGTCTCAGTGCAGAAAATGGCTTGTCTGCAGAGAATCTGCTGCAAAACTGTGGGGATTTAAGGAATAATTCTCTGCTGAGGAAGACATTTTACTCCTAAATTAAATGCTGCATATTTAGTTATGTTTCACAAATACATTATTTATTTCCTTTGGAAATGCCCTTGTTATTTCATACAAACATCGGTTAAGTACATTTGATGTGAATCGCGTTCAATAGTGGTAGCATTGAGAACATAAAAAGTCGGAACTAAAAGTTCAGAATGAGTGCAGATATGCTGCAGTTACGTATGGAGTTAGGGATAAAGAGCACTTCCTCTGGAGGACACCCCGAGAAGCCTAAAGACAAGTCTGTGCTGTCTTTCATCTCTTTATCTGCTGACAGAATCCCTCTTGTCAATGAGAATCACCCGTGACATACTTCAAACTGTAAGCAGTCGGCTCTCAATAGTGCAGCAAATGTCTCGCAGGCAATTCACAGACTGCTGAAATATTGATGAATAAAATCTGTATTTTCATCTCAAGCGCGCCACATAATGACCAGTAAATGTCATCACTTTTGCTTATTGGATCATTGTGTTTGTGGATATGTGTGGACTCCTGCGGAGCCCATGTCTGTGACATCCAGCGTTTGTGTGTGATACATACATTTGTACAAGATGAGAAAATCTCCTGTGACTGATCTCAGCCTCAATAGATGATGACAGGCGTTTTGTCTGCCCTTGACACCGCTGCCTGGAACAGACGGCGACACAAGTGCGGGTGTACATTAGTCAGCACCTCCACATGCTCTTTAGTCATGTGGGAGTGACATTGTTGACTGGTGAAGGTATGCACAGTAACACACACACACACACACACACACACACACACGTATACATGAACTGAATAAGGGGTGAAAAATATTTTGATTCCTTCAGTAAATTGACTTCTTGTAAATTCTTCCGTTGCATTCCTAAAAAAGAATGACTTTTAAAACAGCATTTCTAAAAAGGTTTACCATTTTTCATGATAATGACTTCCAGCTTACAGTATATTCAGTCTACAAATGAATGCAGCTACCACTACAGTGCACTTTGTACGGCGCTTTTGTTGCAGAGATCAGATGAGAGAATAGAGCAGATAGCATGAGTATCTGCATATGGTCAATAGAAAAGTCAAGTCATATATTAAAGAAGTGCTCCACTATATATGTGTATACATATAAAGAGATTTATATATATATATACATATATGTATGTGTATATACTGTATATGTACAGTGTTCACTGTGGGGAGAGTAATCTTTGGGCTTTAAGTCCCTCTCTCTTTTCTAGGATTATAGACATCGTCACTTAGGCCCAGTGATATGTACCACATTATTTTCTGTCTCTTTCAGAAGTGACTTTGGGCAGTCATTTGTGCAAAAACGCCAATCTAAAGACAATAAAGTTTTTTGGATGCACAGACAGAAATAGCTGGTGAACAACAAGACTGAAATCATTGAGCAGGTAAGGTAAACTGCTGCAGTTTTCTAATACTGAATGCCTGTTAATACAGAAAACACTTAGTGCTGTGTTCTCTTAGTAAGTGCATATAATCTTGCAAAATTAATTTCCAAACAGAATTGTATTAATAATTTGTTGTATCTTGTATCAGTGATAGGAGAGTTAAAATGTTTCTAAAGTCGACTCTGGCACATTAGAGAGATTCTACATAATCGTTATAATTATTCATTCAGGAAAATGCTGCTCTATACACCCCGAATACACCCTACTGTATACTGAACACTAGCTACTGTGTAGTGATTCGCGTATTTAGTCAGTAAATATATTTGTTTAGTCCTTAGACCACCTTTTTGACACAGTATTGTTGCTAAACTTTCTGACAAACTACATCAAACATGGACAACATTATCTAACAGTGAGCTGTCGTCTAAAATACACAGTGTCAGCTCATCAGACCATCTTTTCCAATTACGCTGGAGTCCAATATTTATGCAGCTTATCTCTTATTTCTCCAGTTATATTTGACTGAACTAGTCATCATGTGAAAACAATATATTTTTTTTTTTTGCAATGACTTCAACATATGTGTGTGCAATGATGTTTGATTATTTTGAAAGATGACAGTTCGTCGATATGATGCTCCTTTTTAAATAATGCAGTGGAGTTGCAGTTATTAACTCCATCTTTATTTTCTCACCAAAACATTGCCGTTTGCTTTTCTAATCCTTTGGTGCATTTCAATATTTGTTCCCCAGAACAGAGTAACAGTTCAGGAGTGTGGCTGTTTGGAAATGAGAAGCTACTAACTGGATTAGGATGAATTACAGTAATGTGGGCTCAACATATTAATCATTTTATAATAAATGTACATCCAGCTTTGATATATTTATTAATTAAAAGTTTTGGGATGGCAAGACCGTGTTAGTGTGTCTGCAGAAATCACTGTGAAGTCACTGTGTTGTTGTCAGTGCCTGCACACACACGCCTCATATGCCCGCCTCAGTTTCGTTTATCTCAGTCATCATGAGAGTGATACCATGACAACCATACCAGCAAGTGATATTTACTGCAGAGGGAAAGGATGAAAGATAAAAAAAGAGAGGCAGTGGACAGAAATTCGTTTGAGACTAGCCTTAACTTGCTGATCATACATGCACTCGAGTGTGTGTGTAAAATAGTTTTACACACAGTAAATGTCTAATCTTGTTCTCTTTTACCATCTATATTTATATCCACATCAATCAATATACACAATACTGAAAACACAAACTGAAATGATCAACTGCAAAAACTGGACAACTACAAAAATGTAGCAACATTTTTTTTTAAATTCCTTTCATAAAGTATTGGATTTAGCTGTAAACAGGTACAGGAATCAAACTTTTTCTTAGGATAGGTAAGGCATCACTGTCATCTGCTCCTGGTTATCTAACCTGAGTTTGAAGGAAAGAGTTCTGTAGGTCGTGTCATTGGTCCAAC